GCTCACAGTTTCCAAGCATAATGGAAAAAAGTAAGGGCGAATTTCGAGGACGGAATTCCTTTTGTTAGGGGGGAAGAATGTAATACCCCTAATTTTAAAAAGATAGTCTCGGTATTTATTTATTTGTTTTAATTATATTTTTAATTATTTAATTTTAATTATATTTTTAATTATTTAATTGATTATTTAACTAATTGCTTATATGTTTAATTGAATTAGGTATTACTTGATTATTTGATTATGTATTTATGTATTATTTGTATTTGTCTATGTGTTAATTGTTTAATTAGATTATGTGCTTAAATGGTGTTTTGATTAATTGTAAATTAAATGATTTCTTTTCTTTTATTATTTTATTTTTCTTTTATGATTATGGTTAGTAGTCATGGGCCAACCAATTGGGTCTCATGGATTACTTGGATATGAGGTTGGATGTGTATGGATTATTACCCATGGATAGTTGTGTATGTATATATATAGATATTATATATATATATATATATATATATATATATATATATATATATAAGGGAAAGTAATTTATTAATTACTTTTATGATAACTTGAGTAGTAATATTTAATCTGATATATATGTTTTATATTTAAATAATAAAAATATACATAGATTTGATACGTGTTATGTTTTAAGTTACTTTATAATATTATGGTAACTTAAGTATTATTGGATAATCCATTAATAAATAATGGAATGATAAAGATATACATAAATTATATACGTAACATATTTTACTTACCTTTTTAATATATATAAAAGGGAAAGTAATTTATTAATTACTTTTATGGTAAGTTAGGTAGTAATATTCAATCTGATGTATATGTTTTATATTTAAATAATAAAAATATACATAGATTTGATACGTGTTATGTTTTAAGTTACTTTATAATATTATGGTAACTTAAGTATTATTGGATAATCCATTAATAAATAATGGGATTTGTATAATTTATTTATTTAATAAAGATATACATAAATTATATACGTAACATATTTTACTTACCTTTTTAATATTTTTTTTTTTTTAAGTTGACTTGGATTGGGAAAATGGTTAGGGTTATTTTATTTAGCCTATAAATATATAGCTATAGGTTGTAAAAGGGGGTTAGAAATATTCACGTGATATATTCTAGAGAGAGTGAATGAGGAAAATGAAGGAAGGAGGAGAAAAATCCTGTAGAGAAAAGATCAAGGAAGAAGAAGTTTAACTTTTGATCCGAAAGTTTAAGACAAGTTCTCCTTCTATCTCTTTCTCTTTGATTCGTGTTTCTGTACATGCCTAGGAAATTTCAAGATTTATTAAACACATAAAATTAAATAATTATGCATGTTTAATTGGATTAGAACATAGGTTTTATGAATTTGGTTCATATCTATTATTGTGTTATGAATTGATAAATGCATGATTTTGATTTGATTTTTGGTGTGAATTTTTATATGTTTAAATTATGTATTTTTCATATCTGTGGAATGATGGAACGTAAAAACATGCCTAAGATTCCTGAACATTAAATAGGAACTAGGTTTGGGTTTAAATAAATTTAAATGGACTCAATCATAGTAATGCTTGCTATTTGAATGTTTTAAACAAACGAATGGATTTAATCTTTTAATATGTTTTAACAAATGAGATTAAATGTGTAGGATGAATTGGATATGGATAATGTTTATTTGACGGTATAATAAAATATCATCATATGTATAAGATTCAGTTTATGTATGACATAGGATATAGGAAGCTTAAATAAATAATAAGTCATTCTTATTTTGTGATAACTTGATATCATATTATCATAGTTATTTCTGGATTGTTTGATGTATTTCCTTAATCGTTACATAAATTGTTGGATTGTGTGGTTTAATGCACCGGTATGGGACGGTGGCATTCTAGGGACAGATTAACTTATCAGTTAAGTCCTACCTATTTTATATAAGGGAATGAATTAACTAAAATGTTAAGTCCTACTTATATTCAAGTCAGGTCAGTTGAACAAGTTGAATGACTTATAGAGGATTAATTTATTATATAAGGGAATGGATTAACTAAAATATTAAGTCCTACTTATATTCAAGTCAGGTCAGCTGAACAAGTTGAATGACTTATGGAGGATTAATTTATACTGAATAGGATGGTTACTAGATTTTATATATATAAGTATGGTGCCAAGATATGAGCTTGAGTCTCAGGATCAGTGGTTAGGGTGCGTATATCGCCAGGGATGTGTAGCTAGATATAGTGTAGTTGTGTACCCTGGTAGGTCTAGGTACTCATGCCCACTATATGTGCGTTTTGCATGTTGTCTACTATTCAGGTTGAGACAACCCTATAGTTTAGTGAGGTTTCTTTATTGTGTATATATATATATATATATATACGGACTACTAGTTACTGTTAGATTGACTAGGACGTATACGTGTATCAGATCTCTACTTGGACTGTAGTAGAGTAGAACTTGTTTGTGGGCCTGACCTACCATTATTTTTCAGGTGTTCGTCAGGAGTAAAGGTTGTTCGCGCTGAGCGGGGATCAGTCTACTTCATTCTTCCGATGCTATATAAGAGTTCCTTTATGATTCAGTTTTCTGATTTAGACAGTTATTGCTGTCATTTGTTTAGTTTGAATTTTCTAGAGGTCCATACAGTATGGATTCCCAAGTTGTATTTTGGATGATCAGTTGTATCAGAAGAGTTATTAATTAATGGAAATATATTATGAGGTTTATTGTTAGATTATCATTTTAGTTTCTTGTCAGTATTTTATTTATTCTTCTTTATTCTTTTGTACTCTGTGTTCGTTTATTGCCGATTTTATTTTTGATATCCTCGGGTATTCGGGCGTGGACCTTGCCAACCCGCATTCGGGAATCCGAGGGTATCATAGAAACTCAGGCCAGAAATTGGTTACTCAGGTTTGAGTTGTGACTTGTGAGTTGGACCGCCATAATTGTCAGCCAGGGTTTGCAATTCACTTACTAGGGTTATAGTTTGAATTCGTCATCGAACAATTTTTATATTCACAGCCTTTAAAGATTTAAGGAAAGGGTCATCTTATAAAGCTCAACTTGCGTGATATAAATGTTATTGTGTAATTAGTTCTAATATAATCAATTTCAAGAGGCCATTACTATGTGCATTGATTAAAGTTGAGTGGTGAATTGTGAGAATGTGGCATGCGTCTGAGAGCAGTCACTTTATGTAAATTTATACTAAAGGTTACGCCTTTATTTAGTCTGCTCTCATCTCGCTGTGTAGGTGGGTGGAACTCTTAGGTAACAGCTTTTAGCTACAGCAAGTTTATTATGTTTACTTATGAATTAATCATCATTTGTGTAGCAAAGTGGCTCACATTTAGAAATACCTCCGCACATTCCAACTCTGTGATTTATGTGAAGCTAAATTTACCACACCACATGTTAAAGTGATTAGTGTACTATAATACTCCCCCTTTCTTTCAGATTCTAGTAACGATCAGAATACCAGATGACATAGGAAAGGACCTGAAAAAATGAAGCATAACCCAAAGAAAAATTAAATGATGCAGATTCTCATGAGACACAACTAGGCTTTGTTTATCTATAACATCCATCTAACTCAGGAAAGGTCTAATGGGATCTCCATACGTAGCAAAATATGCTGAGACAAGTTGAATTCATGTGTGCAGTTTCTGGATTGTCACCAAAATTTAGTTCGAGGAGCTAAACTGTTCATTTTTTTTTTTTTTTTTTTTTTTTTTTTTTTTTTTTTTTTTTCAATTGGATGCTTTATTAAATGTTATATATGGACTAGTGATTGAGTAGATACAGCAAGTTGCTGTTCATTAGCCATATCTTTTGCTTTCAGCAACTAACTTAAAATATAACCTTTTGCTTTCAGGTGACCACCTTCCATTATTTGTTCCCAACTGATCTGAGTTGCTTTCTGCAGATGTGATGTGGAAATAAAGCTTTTGTATTGACTTGGTTCTTTGAGTATTCATCTCATGATTATAAATGTTTGTACCTCGTTACCCTAAATTGGGTGATTCCTTCGAATTTCGGTAAATATTTACCCAAGTTATAGACATTATATTGTTTTTATGATGATGAGGTTTGGGTTTTTATGATGATTTGCTAGACTAGAAAGTAGAAAGAAATTCGATCTTGGATTTGTCTAAATCTACCACTGAACAAGAAAATGTTAATATGTCTTTACCATGTGATATGCTGTGATAGATTTTATGGGAAGGACAGTTTATGAAATATGATACTATACTTTTGTTGTATATAATTTTCACTTTATTTAGTACGTTAAATTAAAATTCATTTCCTTACGTAAGAGTAACAAATGATTTATAATTATTTAAAAGGAAAAAAAAAAAAGTGTATTTGCATGTTCTAATTTTTCAAATTCTTTATGAACCCTAAGTAATGATAAATACTGTGACGCTAGACTAATTGATGTCTCACATAATAGTAGGTTCCTTGTCACGACAGGTGGATACTCTACTACTTCTGTGGGAGACTTGACTGTCTGGTGTCACAAAATTTTTGAATTTTTCATACAAACTAAAGTTGAATTCATCCAAGGCCAACCACTCACAAGAGTGGTGTCATACCACATACAAATGAAACCATCAATAGCGGGTGAGTTGATTTTCCCGTTATCTAAATAAAATATATATATATATACACACACACAAATTAGTTTTTTTTTTTTTTTTTTCCTATTTATTTTTTTAAATAGTAAAACAAACACACACTATTTTGTTCGATTCTTCTTGAGTTTGTGAATATATGTATAATCTTACAAAACTAAGATAAAGACCCATAAAAGCTAAGGCCCTGCCTGAAGCAAAATTTCTAAGAAACCATTTAATTTTAAATCCATGGTAAAAGCCTGCCCAAACTAACCCAACCCACCTACCAAACTAACCCAACCCACCTATAACTTTTATAATGAAGTAGCCAAGCCCATCATCCATTTTGTAATTAGGTATATATCGTTAACCCAATCCCTTCTCTTTATAACTCACACACCCTAGCCTCGGCAGCAAGCTAAGAAGCCGGCGACGAGTCAACGACGCAAAACGAACCGGAAATCACCGATCGGAGACGACAACACTGACAACAATCCTTCACCGCTGAAATTATTTGATTTCATACTGTATGTCTCTCTATCTCTCTCTATTTAAAAAGTATCTCTCTCATACTGGAATGAATATACATCTATACGCACATACATATATGTATACACAGATTGTAGGTTTTCGTTTTTCATTGTTGTATTAGCGCTTTGGATTAGTTTGGAAACTGCCTAGCCCTTTTTCATTTTTTCCATCGGATAATTCAAAATCAGATAATTCTAATTTCTATTGGATCTAATGTTTAATTACTAACTGGAGGTAAGCATGATCCCAAATTTGAATCAGTTCTCCATAGTCTGATTTTGGTTCTGGCATGTATGATTCAATTATTCATATTCTGTATCTGCATTTTTTTTTTACTTCTATATAACTAATCCACAAGACTCAGATCTATTTCTACTCTGATGTTCAAGTGTGTTTTTTTAGTTCCTTAAATTTCCATTTGTTTAATTCCTGAAAATCTAGGCAACTAGCTCCTGTGATACATTGTAGTTTTTGGTTTTCATCCTCGGCCTAACATGGTAATCTGTGGTTTGGTCTTTGTATATTTGAGTGTTCTTTCGATAATATGGTGATTAGTAATGGGTTTTCATGATTAATTAAATATTTGTTGTTTTTTCGTCTTTGATAAAAAAAAAAAAATCTGCTTGGTGAGAGAAAATTGGTTGTGTGTTTTTACTTGTGAGAAAATGGAATAAATTTTTTTGGTACATGTATAAAACATTGTACTTCTAACTCAAGGAACATCATTTCATGAGATGAAGACTAGCGAACATTCCATAGCTAGTTGCAAAATCTATGGTATGGTCTTTGTATGTCTGAGCGTTCTTTTGATAAGATGGTGATTAGTAATGAGTTTTGATAATTAATTAAATATTTGTTGTTTTTCGTCTTTGAAAAAAATTCTGCTTGTTGAAAGAAATTTGTTTCTACTTGTGAGAAAATATAATAAAATTTACATAAATAACACGGGCCTTGGGCACATGTATAAAACATTGTACTTATAACTCAAGGAACTTCATTTCATGAGATGAAGACGAGTGAAACATTCCATAGCTAGTTACAAAAACATATCTTTGGGAAGTGTTTTTAAATCTTGAGTTTTTTTGAATAGTCAGAGAAATTAGGGGCCCATTATATGAATGGAAATCATGTTTGTTAAAATCCTAATCCGGATCGTAGAATTTTATGATCCTACTATTCCAATTGCTAAATCAATTTGGATCACGTGAAGAATCATTGGTGGCAAGGTCGGAGTAGGATCAGAATTAGGATCGTAGAATTGTTTCAGATCCTATGATCCTATTAACTTGTTTCATTTTGTTCTTTTTCTGGATTTATACGGGCCTACAAACTCATTTTTGGAAAAGAAATTTAAGGCTGTTTAAGTATTATGTCCTACATTTTAACCTAGTTGAATTTAAGAACAGAAAACAGAGACCCATCTTAAAAGCTAGGCACTATCCATCTCTGAACTTCAAAAGTATGACACAATACTTTAAACAATATCTGTATTTTGCTTTATTCTTCTTGATTTTTCTTTCTTTTCCAAAACAAAAAGCAAAGAGAGCTCAATTTTCTCACCTATTATTTGCTCATTCTGAACAAAAAAGAGATACGGTTTTTTCTCCTCTATTCTCTCAACGTTTCTTCTTTTTCTTAACCTAAAAATAGTCTTTCCAACAAAATTGCTAAAATAATTAGGCAACTGAATTGCTCTCTCTCTCTCTCTCTCTCTCTCTCTCTCTGTTGTGTGTTTTAAGGCTTTGCTTAATTGCTTATGCGAATTCTGCTTGCATTTTATGTTCACATTCTTGCATAGGGGAAATCAAGAAATTAGTTTCAAGTGTTTGTCATGTTTCTTACTCTCTTAGTCTTTTATTAATTGAATTTTGCTTGAATGTAGATGACGTTTTATTTAACCTTACTCTTTATCTATTTTGAAATTATCTTTATTTAGATAGCTAGTTTAAGTTATTTTATAAAAGTTATATAGAATCTTACAATCCTCAATCCGACCCTACGATCTTGATCTTATGAACCCTCCATCGATCCTACGTAGAATCTTGATCCTGACAACCTTTATGTCATGTTTTAAATATTGCTGACAGTTTACCTCAATTGACCACATTATGAAGATTGACATGAACTGGTAGTTTCCCAGTAGGCCTTGGATCTTGACCTAAAATGACTATTAAGAAGATTCAAACCTAGTGAAAATGATATCACATCTTAAAATTGTTTGTCCAACGTCTTTAATATGTTATGTGCAAATTACAGATTTCGTAGTTGGTTAAAATTTTCAAGGCTAGTGATTGTAATTTGACATGATTCAGTGGATTTAGTAAAAGTGGTTATGGTGGTTACCAACCACTTAAATATAAACCTGGCATTTTTTTTTTTTATTGGGAATCATACTCTGTGTGTTAGTTCATCTATTCAATATCGTTTGTGGAAATACTAGGATGATGCTTCTAAACACCTCAAAAAATGGTTGTAGAATGCTCTTGGATATTTATCTCTGGAACTGATCTTTTATTACTCCCACTATGATAAATTAGATGTCTCGAAGGTACGATAGTCGTACGACGATCTTCTCCCCTGAAGGTCGTCTATACCAGGTTGAGTATGCAATGGAGGCCATTGGAAATGCAGGGTCTGCAATTGGTATATTGTCCAAAGATGGGGTCGTCCTGGTAGGTGAAAAGAAAGTCACTTCCAAACTCCTTCAGACCTCAACCTCAACCGAGAAGATGTATAAAATTGATGACCATGTAGCTTGTGCTGTGGCTGGAATAATGTCTGATGCCAACATCCTTATCAACACAGCCAGGGTCCAAGCTCAGCGCTACACTTATGCTTACCAAGAACCAATGCCGGTTGAACAGCTTGTTCAGTCTTTATGTGATACTAAGCAAGGCTACACGCAGTTTGGTGGGCTTCGTCCATTTGGTGTTTCGTTCTTGTTTGCAGGCTGGGACAAGAATCTTGGTTTCCAGCTCTACATGAGTGATCCCAGTGGCAATTACGGTGGTTGGAAGGCCGCAGCAATTGGAGCAAACAACCAGGCTGCACAATCAATGCTTAAGCAGGACTACAAGGATGAGATCACAAGGGAAGACGCCGTGCAGCTTGCTCTGAAGGTGCTCAGTAAGACGATGGACAGCACGAGTCTTACTTCGGATAAGCTTGAGCTGGCTGAGGTATTTCTCTCTTCTGGAAAAGTGAAGTACCAGGTGTGCTCGCCCGAGACCCTGAATAAACTGCTAGTGAAGTTTGGAGTGACTCAACCTGCCACTGAGGATTCTTAAGTTGTGTTTTTTGTTTTTGGGATGTGTCTCTGGACTAATGTGCGTTTACTTTTCAATCTCTTAAAGTTGTATGGTTTCTATGATTTCACAAAACCTATAATTGATTTTGCTCTGTGACTGATTGCCTGCAAGAGACATGATTTATATTTAAATCAGGCATTGGTGTAGAACTTAGCAGAATCTCTCTATTATAAAATGTTTTATTGGTGGCATTAGTCTTTTGTTGTCATGCTTTAAGCACAATCTGAAGGTTTGAGTTGTTTTTTGTTTTTTTTTTTTTTTTTTTTTTTGGGTGGGGATACAATTACATCGTTACAAGTTGGTGTATTTTTAAACAATGACATCTCATCTCCTTGTTAAAAATTAGAGGTGTCATTAATTTAAATTATAAAATATCAAAACTATTAAAAAAACGCTTTTAACGTTATACACTCGTTACATTACACCTCTCTCTCTCTCTATATATATATATATATATATAAATATATATAGGTTTGGGTGGTGGATGCCGTGAGCGGTCCGGGTGTATGGTGGTTTGAGAGAAAATTTGGGTTTCTCACATGGGTTGTATTCGATAATTCATTTAAATATATTTGATTTAAGGATATTTAAGTCAATTATATTTGTCAATTTTATATTAAAGATTAATAAATCTTTGTCAATTTTAAACTTGAGGTGGTGTTAATTTTATCAAACTTGAGTGAGTGTCTCAAAAAATAAGTCAACTTGTATCCTTATGCCAATGGTCTCTTGTACTTACCTTTATTTTTTTCTTTAATCCTTAACTCATTCGATTTTCAAGAATTAGTCAATTTTCAACTTTTGTAATTCAAAGCAAATCATATACAACCCCTTGTTCCCAATCCAGATAACATGTGGAAAGCCAGATGAGTTTAGTTGAAATAATTACTATTATTTCGGAAAGAAGCAGACGCCGCATCTTTTTTCTTTTTCTTTTTTAATTCGGTTTTTATTCTCTTTTTTTCTTAAATTTTGGAGAAAGTTTAATTAATTTTGGACAGTTTCCTCATGCTCCTTCCTTCTGAGGATAGAGATTCCATATGGTGTTAGGATTCCTTTATTATAAATACAAGTAGAATTCACATCTTTTTAACTTTGCGTTCGTGTTTACGGACGGTGAAGAAACTGAAGGTGCAGCAATGTCTATGAAGGACGGTGAAGAAGAAACTGAAGGTGCAGCCATGTCTATGAAAGCAAATAAACGTTTACAGACTGTGAAGAAAGGAGAAGTTGAAAGTGCAGCCATGTGGACGAGAACAAAGAAAAGCAAAGAAATAGTCATGTCTTACCTTCCAGACCATGTCGTCGTTGGAATACTCTTAAACTTGCCTGTGAAGTCTCTGTTGCGATTTAAGTGCGTATCGAAGGCATGGCGCTCTTTGATCTCTGAACCCGACTTCATCAAAGCACATCTGGACTTCCAAAGACGCTATGAGAGACTACTGATGAATTCTTCTCTCGGTCATTGTCTCTATTCCATAAACCTTGAACCAAGAATCATTAATGACATTGAAGCAATAAAGATTAGTGATATTCCCGATATGGAGTCCAAATGGTTTCAAATAATTGGTTCTTGTAATGGGTTGTTATGCATAAGTACCAGCCACACTCATTTATATATAGTGAATCCTTCAACAAGAGTCTCCAAAAAAGTACCAGATCATCCGGGGTTGAAATTATTTGCGATACAGGGATTTGGCTATGATCACACTGTTGATGATTACAAGCTGTTGAATGGAGACCAAGATGATTTCCACATGTATTCGCTCAAAACCAATTCTTGGAAAAAGGTTGAGTCATGCTTTCCTCGCAGTAGCATCGTTAGACGCTACGGGACATCTCTGAATGGAGCCATCCATTGGGTTTGTAATGAACATGACACAAACCAGCACCAGCAGTACTCATATGTGATTGTTGCTTTCAGCTTGGCGGATGAGAAATTCTCGAAGATTGCTCTGCCGATCCAGGGGCTAGTCGATGTAGGAGTGTTTAGAGGATGTCTTTGTATGTCAAGGCGTCGTCCGAATGGTGAATTTTGGGTGATGAAGAAATATGGCGTTACACAGTCTTGGACTAATGTTGCGATTGAAACTCTACCTTTTAGAATCGAGTCATTGGTTTTGACGAACAACGATGAATTATTGAAGAATGATGAATTATTGTTTAGGACAGGCTCCAAGAAATTCGTTTTATACAACATAAGAGAGAAGACTGGTAGGGATCTAATACTTCCAGATACTACGATAGTTGGTACAGAAATTAAAGTAGGGGGCTATGTGGAGAGCCTCGTATCACCCATCATGGGTGTTTGAATTAGAGCCTCAGTCTGCTTTTGTTTGGCTCAAAGTGTGCCCTAAGATACATTTGTAATTTTATGATTTGCTGGGGTGCCAGGAACGTTTGGTCTAAATTTGTGACTTAGCTCATTATGGTTGAGTTTTTCAAATCAAACAAATATTCTTGATCATCGAGTGAATTGGTTATATAACTTTGCTATTGTGGAAAGTAGGAATGACCCTTTCACTAATTTGTTTTTTTAATCTTAATTAAAATATTATTTTACTATTACATTTTTTTTAGAAGTCTAACTTAAAGATAATGTTACATCATGGAAGTGAGGATTATGCTTTATTTGGTAGGAAAGGAAAAAAACACTTGGATGGAAGGGAGAGAAGAATGGTTGAATAAGACATTATTAAGAAAAGATTGTGTATTTCTTTATTTTGTTCGGTTTGATAAAAGAGAAAGAGAATAAACTTATAATTTTTTACAGAATGAAATAGAAAGTTTTAATTATTTTACTATTATATCTAATAGTATTTATAATATTGTAATTTATAGAGGATAATATTATTATTTAAAACTTATATAAATAGTATTTAATTTAACGTTTTTATAATAGTCCACTTATCTCCTCTCATTTCTTCCTCTCAATGCGTTTTACATGATATGAATATGACAATTCCAAATTAGGGGCAGAATAATGAATCACAAAAACAGAGTATAAGGCATGTTCCAAATAAAAAACCAGAGCATAACACCATCAATGAGTGACGAACAAACATAATTAAAACCAGCTTTCTCAAGCAACAATCCTCCTACCAGTAAAATCAGGGAAAAATGGAGAAAAAAGCTAGTAACCAAACAAAAATAAGAAAACAAAGAATACCCATTTGGAGTAGCAACCATCCTAACTGAAAATATGCTCAGCTATCAAAATTGAGGATGCAATTTATCTGTAAGATTCATGGTCATATGAGTACCCATTTGGGGTATCAAAAGAAGAAATTAATCTGGAATCATTTTATGTCAGATGGTAACTCAAGCTAGAGAAACCATTCAAAAAAAAAAAAAAAAAATTAAACTAGAGAATACCCAGCAAAACTAAAATGAAAAATAAAAATCCATCTTCGTGGAAAGACACTGTCCTCGTAATATCATTGCATGTTGTCCCTACTTAGTATTTGAATCTAGAAGGGGTTTTGGGCAAGAGAGGAGCAGAGCACTATCATATCTCACCCCTTTCCGGAAATCACAGTATGATTTTCCGTCACACGCAGGCATGGATCCGATTTTTTTTATTTACTTATTAAATTACCTGTAAAAATCTTAAAAACATTTCTACTTTTTTATGAAAATCTTAAAATTGCCCTCACTCAATTTATAATAAAATTCAAGGCCGTCCCTACTGAATTTTTTTATTTATTTAAAAAATTATCTATAAATTTTGTATATATATATATGTTTAAAATATCAATACTTTTTAGTGAAAATCTTAAAAATGTTCTCACTCAATTTCTAATAAAAATCCGCTATATATTATTGTTGTTCAATGTTGCTCCTTTTCAAACAATTCTCATAGTACTATTCATAAGCAGATCTTATGGTAAGCTATGCTTCTTAGCCGACGTAAAATTTTACATCATTTACAATATTGTATGTCAAATTAAAATGTAGCATAAGCAAAACATCATATATGGTTTATTTGGTGCTAATAAGAACATTTTTCGTAACAAGAAAACATAGCGTTAGTAGTGACTGACTCCATGAAATTCGTTTTATACAACAAAAGAGAGGAGACCGGTAGGGATCTAATACTTGGAGGAATTCCAGATGCTAGTGTGTGTAAAGTAGGAGGCTATGTGGAGAGCCTCATGTCACCCATCAGGGGAGATTGAATTAGTGGTCATTCTTATAATTTAGAAAAGATAGAATGGTTTTGAATAACCAACCAAGCTGTGTTTTCCATTTTTTTTTTTTTTTTTTTTAATTTGCTTTCTCTCTTTTGTTATGTAAGATAATTTTATAACACATCAAAAAACATGTACAATGCAAGCCTCTAAGGAGGCAAGCCTACCTTAACATATAAGTTTTGGAACAGGTTTTTGCTTTTGGTTGGGCCAAGCAAGACTAGGTTTGTCGTTTTACTATCTTGTCCTTATCTTTTATATACCATATAGTAACATAGATGAGGATGAAAATCGTTAAAATGTGTTCTTAAGGAAAGAAATCGAAAAATTCTTTTACCCAAATTGTCGATTACATAGTCCCTCATTCCCATTAGAACTCTATTTATATATAAATTAACAAAAATACAGATAGTAACCAAACCACAAAGAAAATTAACAAAAATACAGATAGTAACCACAAAGAATAGGACATGGTTGCTTTAAAAACTTTGGCTCATACGATTGAATCAAGAGAGAGATTGTGGTAGGCATCACAAATTAACGAGAGTTGGAGTAGAAGAAAAACTCTTCGAATGGTGAAAAAGCCGCCATGAAAGCAAATTGTGAGACATGCGAAGAAGCCATGTCATACCTTCCAGACCATGTAAATGCGTATCAAAGTCGTGGCTCTCTTTGATCTCGGACTCCCAATTCATCAAAACACATGTCAAAGTCCAAAGACAACAGAGACTGCTAATTATTTCCCATGCCGGTTATAGTGTCTATTCCATAAACCTTGAACACGATCTATTTAAGAATCTGGGGTGTTTGATTCAGAGAAACACGATTTGAAGGAATTAGTGCAAGAGCAAGGCTACGTATGGGGATGAAGGAAGGTTCTACAAAGGCCTCCTTGAAGAGATATATGTCCATTGCTCAAGCATGGTGTTCTTTGGGTTTCTATCAATCCTATAATTTTGGTTCATTTTCGATTTCTTTCTGCTCATCAATCAGTGTGTATGATTTTTGGATATGGATGAATGTTTTAATCACGCAATGAGAAGATTTATGATTATTATATGTTGTGTTCTTGATTTCATATTATTTTTATATTTTTCTTCTTTAATTTCCCATTATGTTAAAAGGATAAGTTAATTTAGTATTTTGAGTGAATTTTAATTTACCTGCTACTAATGAAGCAAACTAATGCATGTTCAACCTTTGTGGTTCAGTGCTGCTAGTAGTTGGTGGATGTGACGATAATATTATTCCATTGTCATAACACCCACAACTTTAATCATACGACTTGCTTTTAAACTTGCCATGAATTCCATATTTTTTTGGAACAGTTTGCTTTGCTTTGCTTATCATCTTGCTTTTAAACATAGAATTCATACATAGTCCTTTAATAATATTAAATGTGACTTTTTATTGTTTTAATATGATAAATAATTAAATATAACATCACATGTGATACCATTATTTACTTAGCTAGTTTATCGTGATATATTCAATTTTTTATATTTTTTTCAAAGGTTAATCAAATGACAAAACAAGCCCAAACAAACAATGGACAAACAAGCGACTGTGGCCCAAGAAGCCCAAACCACGCCATCACATATCTTAAAAGCAGCAACCAAAAATGCCCAAATTAGAGAAAAAGCAAATTTTCTGGTGAAGAAGCTCTAGCGACTAGCAGTGATGTACAATTGATTATTCAACTCTTTGCGGGTATGTTGACAGATTTTTTGAGTTGATTTCGAAATGTGCGTTTTTTATCCGACGGGTGAATTTTTTGATTGAAAACGGCCTAAGACACTGTTATGCTGTAATGTAACCTATTTTTTGACGAAATACTATCGTTTAGAACCTCAAAACGAAATTTTTCGGTCTCTTATAAAAACCTATAGAATATTTCAAAATTTTTGTTCATTGTCTAAACAAACTCGGATTGCAATCAAATTTTATATTTAGTAATTTTATTTTATTAGATATTTTTCTCTATGTTTTGAATTTTTATAAAAACATTATTTTTAGGCTATTTTTCAAGTATTAGTATCCTTATATTTCTTTATGTTATAAGGATTCGTGTTGCAGTTAGTTTTCTTACGAACTTGGATTGCACTCATTTTATATTTAGTTTGATTTAGGTTGCTCGCGCATAACAAGGGAAGACACCAGTACGCTACTAGCAGAAGATGTAACGTTTCCTTAGCAGACTCTATCATAGAAGTATTAGGATTGCAAACAAGAAGTTGTTAATGCTTGTACGGAAGAATTCAATCGGTTGACATCTCGGAACAACCTGATGGAAACTAAGATGCAACAAGTTGCTCATTATTTCAATGGTCTGCGATATGAAATTCACGATACGGGATCAACACGGATAATTTACACTATTTTTGGAGAAAGCAAAAACACGATAGTGATTGCGGCAACCAAAAATCACTAATGGGGGGCTCAGTGTTACGCCCCGCTATCAACAATAACTCGGATAGACTGACTTAACACTTCAAGGGAGCTTGAAACGTGTCTAAAGCCGCACGTGAGTTTGGCGGGATGAGTCACTCGAAACCTCGCTAGCAGTTTATTCAGGGTCTCAGGCGAGCATAACTCAGCCAGTTCATTCTTATCGTGAAACACCAAATGGACGAAGCCCACCAAATTGCGTGCAGTCATGGTAATGTGCTGGTTTTAATTTGGAACATGCCTTACACTCTGTTCATTCTTCTGGCCTAACACATTTTTTTTTCATCTTCTATATCAAGGGAGGTATTCCTACTTAGAGCCTTGTATATGTTTTTTCCTTCTTATTATTTTGATTTGTTATAAATTATCTTTAAAAAATTATTAGAAGAAATAATAATAATAATACAACAACAATAGAAAAGAATAACTTGATTGTTCTATCTTCCAATAATTCATAATCCAAAATTTTTAAAAATTGTATCTAAATTAGACACCCATGATGTGTGATATGAAACTCTCCACCTAGTCCTCTTTCTTGTGTGCCATAAACAAATTTGTTGGAGTTTGGGACAAACAATAGTTCATAATTCTTCACCAATTCATCACCCCTCAACAAAACCAATCACTCCATACTAAAAGATGGAGTTTCAATCACAACTTCAGTCCAGGACTCGGTCACGCCTAGTCCTCCATCACCCAAAATTCACCCTTATAACGACTTAGCATACAAAGACATCCTCTTAAGTCTTAACACCCCTAATTCCATTGGCAACTGGAAAGTCACCAGAATCTTCCAGAATTCCTCATCCACCAAACTGTAACCAACAATCACTAATGGCTGCTGCTCCTCTCGATCAATACAAACCCAAATGGACGAAGCCCACCGAATTGTGTGCAGCCCTGCTTGGTATCACATAAAAACTAAACAAGACAAACCATGTCTCTTGCAGGAAATCGTCAGAGAGCAAATTTGATTATATGTTTGATGAGAAAATGAACCACAACTTAACTACCATAAAATTAAATTACAGATTATGTCATCAGGGAATGGTGGTGCAAGTAATCAACCAAAAAGAAAGGAGTGGAAATGTAGATGAGAAGGAACACCATTTAAAACTACTATAATAAACCATCATTTGCTCCATGAAATTCAAAAACACAATTAGAGAAAGGTATATATATATATATATATACCGTTTTAACATATGCATTGTTCATCCTAAATATTATCACTTGTTCTTGATTTAATTTGTCTGTGACTCAAACTTTCATGATGGGTGATACGAGGCTCTCCACATAGGTCTTTGCTGTAAAAATCCAGGTCGGATCTGGGAAACCTCGAATAACTAGATCCCTGTATGTTCCCTCTCTTATGTTGTATAAAACTAATCTTTTGGCATCTACCGCTAAGAGAGCTTCATCTTCCTTCAGCAAAGCCAATGGCTTCATGTAGCTTTGAAATGGAACATTAATCTCAACTCTATTCCAAGATTGCTTCACCATATATTCCTTCATTAGCCATAAGTCATGACCACATCGTCGTAGTATACCAAGACATCCTCCAAATACCCCAACCTCAATATCATTAGTAACACCAGTAGGAAAAGTAGGCACACTTATCTCACAGAATTTCTCATCTGCAAAACCAAAAGCAACAATTACTGTTGGCTGTCTACCAAACCAATGGATGGCTCCATTTAGCGATGCTCCACAAAGTGCACCATAAAGTTCATAATGATTACTACAACTGCAAGGGAAGTCTTGAATCTTTTTCCAAGAATCACTTCTCAGTGAATATAGATGGAGATTATTTTTTCTTCCCAACACCAACTTGTAATCATCAACAGTGCAATCATAGCCAAATCCATATACTGCAGCACCAAATTTCGGATCTGGCACTTTCTTGCACTCGCTCGTTATGGGATTGAATATATATATGACATCTTCTGCCAAAAAGCATAACAACCCATTACAAGAACCAATCATAATGGTCCAGACATGATGCTTTAACTCAAAATAACCCAAAACATGATCAATCTTTACTGCTGTAACTGCTGTTAGAGTGTCATTATCAGCTGATCCAAGGCTTGCTGTGTATAGACCGGGATGGGGGACTAAATTGACCATTACCATATATTGTCTTTGAATATTGGGGTTTGTGATTGATTGATTGAAGTGAGAGCTGGAGATTAAAGAGTGCCATGACTTGGATACCCGCCTGAATTGAAACAGAGACTTGAACGGCAGTTTCGAGAGTATACCAATAATGACATCCAAAGGAAGGTGAGGCATGGACCTTTCGGATGACTGAATCATATTCTCTACCTTCTTCACCATGGCTTTGGTCCCCTATCTTCTTCTAGTTTGCGAATGTGATTTTCATCATGACTATCCCAATTAATTTGTGAAAACTTGTTATCAGTGACTGTGAAATCTGAAGCCAAACTTTGGTTTACAAAGGATACAAGATTTAGCGCCTTCTCAGCTATATGACGTCTGTATCTCATATACTCTGAACCAAAGTGCCAAAGTTAGCTTTAATTAAAAAAGAAAACAAAATTATTCTCCCTCATTAGAAAAAAATGGAAAAAGAGAAAAACAAAGTACCCATTTTTAGTTATCAGAAGTTCAGTAAATAAACGAATCAAAAGTGTTCAGTACTTATTTGCTTTAATCAGTGTACAAAATCTCTTGAACCAGTGGTCTTTTTGGTTTTATGCATCATTATATAAGTTTTTCCCTATTTATCTACGAAAACAAACAGAACTTTATATTTAGGTCAGATCTCAACAAATACACCCACAGGCAAACAACAACAGAGAACTAATTTAACATGCTCCATCAAATTATAAACAAAACCCTATCAAACAGAGCCATATAAATACATCATATCTTCACAAATAGACTCATAAGCAGGCAATTTTGGGAGAAATATATATATATATATATATATATATATATATATATATATATATATTTACTACAAAGGATACACCTTCTCAGCTATATGATGTCTGTATCTCATGTACTCTGAACCAAAGTGCCAAAGTTTGCTTTTTAAAATTAAAAAAAAAAAAAGATAACAAAAGTATTCTCCAGCATTAGAAAAAAAATGGAAAAAGAAAAAAACAAAGTACCCATTTTTAGTTATCAGAAGTTCAGTAAATAAATGAATCAAAAGTGTTCATTAGTACTTATTTGCTTTGATCAGTGTACAAAATCTCTTGAATCAGTGGTCTTTTTGTTTTTGTTTTGTTTTTTTCGTTTTTTTTTTTTTTTTTTTTTTTTTTGCATCATTTTATAAGTTTTTCCCTAGATTTTTTTTTTTTTTCTAATAATATATATCTAGGAAAACAAGCAGAACCTTATACTTAGGTCAGATCTCAACAAATACACCCACAGGCAAACAACAACAAAGAACTAATTAATGAAATTATAAAAAAACCCTAGCAAACAGAGCGTTATAAATACATCATATCTTCACAAATAGACTCATAATCAGGCAATTTAGGGGAATATATATATATATATACACACACACACACACACACACTACACATGGTTCATCAAATTATATGCACAACATAGATGAAAAGGGTTTTCCGATTAAAGTTGCCCAAATTTCATGCTCATAGTTATATATAGAGAGAGAGACTTACATGAGAAGATTAGAAGCACACCAGAAACCCTATAAGAAATTATATGAAGCGTGGGCACTCATCTCCAAACTACAGTGGTATTTTGCAGTGTTCCGCGAACACGGAGAGAAAAAGGGCTCAAAAGTGACTCAAGAATTAGCGATTAATGTGACCTACCATCACTCTCACGTGCCTTTTATGTTCTCTGCCCTTTAAAAAGAAAAGATATACCCTTTAGAGAGTAAATTAGGTCAAATTTTACCCAACATTTTATTATATTTTTAGATGACATAACTTATAAACAAACTAATAATTAAAGGGCACTTCTATTTCATTCGATTTAAAAAAATTTACTTTGTATCAACTATTTTTTAATGTCTAAGTATCGTGCTGTAATTAGTGAAGCCCTTAATAGAAACAAGCCCTTAATAAAAATAAACACGCCTCTCTCCTCTTCACTCACACCCCCAAGTCTTCTCATCCCCCTCTCTCTATATATAAATGTTTACACACACACACACACACGTGTATATATATATATGGAGACCCAGTTACTCCATGAATCCCAGTTCTTCAATTTTGAATTATTGTTCTTAATATCTCAAAAAAGAGAGAGAGAAAATAATAATAATAATAATAATAATAATAATAATCCAAATGACGAAAAAGAGAAACGAAATAGATATGCAAAACCCAAATTTTTTTTTTTTTCCTTTTTTTCTTTCTTAGGGGAAAACTATAGTTGAAGATTATGAGAAAGCCGTCAAAAATTTCATTCCCTACAACAAAGCCTTTTAATGGAAAAGATATTTTATAAAAAGAAGAAATTTTAAGCAAAAATATGTACATACGAGTAGCTTGTACACCGAGAAAAGATATAATAGAAAGAGCCAAAAAGGAAATCAAGAGGATCTCTGAGACAAGGAAACCAAGAGGATCTTTGAGATTTTGGAATAATTTCGCTTGTAGAGATAGATCTCTATCACCAGGTGGTCGCCACCAGAGGAGAGAGAACAAGAAAGAACATTTATGGTTATTAGTATTTTTTATTTGTGTCAGTTTTAAGTCATTAGATAGATGTCATCAAAATTATTATTTTCCATAATTAAAACAAATAAAATTCATACTTTTAGCAGATATAAATTTAAAACAAATTAGTAATAATTGAAACCGAAACAATTTATTTATTAGTACTTGAAAGGAAAAGAAAATAGAAAAGAAAAACTTCGAAACCTTTATTCCTGTATATATATATTTAGGGATCCATCCCAAGTTACAAACTTGTGCTACACGCATCATCGGCTCCTCAACACGTGCAGCAGTAAATTTCAAACTTTGCGCCGAGCTCCAACCATCCCAGCTATGCCCCCGGGAGCTTATTAGTGCTAACTTTATTTTATACAAAGTGAATAAACTGCTAGGAGGAGAAAAGCATACACACCACGAAAGGCGTCAAGAAGCCACATTCTCCCAACTCCCAAGTCCTACCCAAGATTTGCTACTGAGTTGCAGCTTAATAGCATTAGGATTGCATATTTTATTTTTTCTGATGTTCCTTGGACTACTAGTTTCCTTATGGGAATATGTTATTTTTTCTGTTGCGGTTCAGATGTGTGTCAAAGTCATGGCGCAATCTCGTCTCTAACCCCCACTTCATCAAAACGCATGTCAACATCCAAAGACACCATCAGAAACTACTAATGATTTCCCCTTCCGGCGATTGTCTCCATTCCATAAACCTTGAACCAAGTATTATTAGTGACACTGAAGCAGTAAAGATTAGTGATATTTTGGGTGACGAGCATAGTGCTGACAGGTTTGAAATAATTGGCTCTAGTAATGGGTTGTTATGCCTATTTTGTCAGGGAAGAGGAGTAGGTGGCCTATATATAGTTAATCATTCCACAAGAGTTTCTAAGAAAGTAGAAAAGTTCAATTTATCTAATCTCGACAGATTATATGGATTTGGCTATGATCACACCGTTGATGATTACAAACTGGCGAAACTAGACAGAGACAAAGACAACTTAGGCATATATTCACTGAAAACTAATTCTTGGAAAAAGGTTGAATCATGTTTTCCTCACCATTCCTTGTTTCCTATATGTTCTGGGCCATCTCTGAATGGAGCCATCCATTGGGTTTGTTTTGATCTTATTGATCCACAGCCGTGGACAGTATTATTAGTGATTGTTGGTTTCAGTTTGGTGGATGAGAAATTCTGGAAGATTGCTGTGCCTGTCCAGGCGAGACTCCAACTAGGGGTGTTTAATGGGTGTCTTTGTACGCTAAATTATATTAAGGGTGAATTTTGGGTGTTGAAGGAATATGGGATGACACCGTTTTGGACTAAAGTTGTGATTGAAATGCCATCTTTTCCAATCAAGTTATTGGTTTTGGTGATAAGTGAAGAATTATTGAAGAATGATGAATTATTATTTTTGACACACTCCAACAAGTTTGCTTTATGGAACACGAGACAGAGAACCAGTAGGGATCTAATACTTCCAGAAATTCTAGAAGCAAGTGCAGTTTTCAAGGTAGGAATCGATAGGGAGAGCCTCATATCACCCCATCACTGCTGTTTGAATTAGAGGCAACTTTTAAAATTTTATTAGAATGGTGAATGATTGGAATTTGGAAGGTAGACCGTAGAAAAAAACAACGTAAATTGCATTTTTTTTCAAATTTGTATATTTCCAAAATATAAATATTTTATATTATTTAAGTGTTATTATATATATGTTTTATGTTTTATAGATATAAATTCCAGAATAAGAAGAAAAGATGCAAAAATGATAGAATATGAGAATTTATGGCTGCAGAAATTATGAGAATTATTTATAGTTAAAAAAAGCACTAGAAACATCGTATGAGAGAGATGGTCTAGTGCATAACCTACTAGTTACAACACAATTGCTTTATTTTTTATGCACAGAATATTTCATTTTTTGTTTTTCCTATTTTGATTTTCAAATTATTTTCTTTTTCCTTCCTACTTCCTCCTGTATAAATTCTATAAATAGGGAGGTAGGGAGGGGATAAGAGAGGTAGGGAAAAAGGTGAGAGAGCGAAAAATAGAGTTGGTGCAAGCTCAATATTTTTGTATTCTTTTTCCCTCTCAAGGGAGTGATGAAGCTTCCATGGTTATAATTTACATAAATATCTTTTATTGCTTGTATTAATTATTCCTCTGAAATTTTTTTTTTTTTTTTTTGAAAGTTAAAGCAATTACGTACACACGTTACCTCTAACGAGGTTTGAACCCCCAACTTTCCCTTTGAGGAGGTAGGGGTGATACCGCTAGGCCATTTGGTCCATTGGTTCATTTGGAAAGAATTCTTTGTGAATGTCAATGATATAAACCTCTCGATGAAGAAAGTTAGAGGCTAAAAAAAATGCATAGAGGGAACATTCTTCATGATATGCCAAAGTATACATATAGTATAGTGTAGTGAAAATATTGACAATGACTACCACTATTACAATACATTTTATTAGAAAAATAAATGAAGGATAATTCGTTTTATGTCAATTAATGGAAATACAGGTAATGTTTGTCACTATTTATTTTCTATAGCAAGCAAAAGGTACTGAAAGAGATTTTACAAGAATATTATTCATAAATATCCAAGTGTTCAATGTTGTATTTTCCTTTATCTTTTCAAGTTCTAATTGCAAGTGTTTATTTATTTGGAAAAATTTTAATTAAGGAAATTAAACAATTTATTTATATTGATCTATGGTGGTGGATTCTACTTCCTTGGGATTTTTGTTTTCTTTAGCATTAATATTAGTTCTTTTTATTAATTTTATTATTCAAGAATAAAAATTTATTTTTCCATTCTTTTAATTGATGTTTTGAATTTTTTTTTTCTCCGTTTTGAATTTAAGTTGTTTAAGGAAATCTCACCTAAAATGTGTGATTGGACTCTGCTTATTTTATACAATTTTTAGTTTAGTTTTTACAGGTTTTCTTTATTTTTGTACGAAGTATAAAGAACCAACAACAAAATTCCATAAATTTACACTCATTATATTTAAAATTTTCAGCAATTAAGTTTCTTATTTTATTTTTTCTTAATTTGTGAAAAAGTTTAATTAATTTTGGACATGTTCCTTGTACTTCGTGAATGGCTAGGGGAACCAAGAAGCAGACTATGTCATTGTTGAAATACATGGATGCTTGATGGTGAGGAAAGAAAAAATTGAAGGTGCAGCCATGTGGATGGAAGTATATAGAAGAAATCACGAGTCACGCTCCCATGATTGTTGGTTTCAGTTTGGTGGATGAGAAATTCTGGATGTCTTTGTATGCTAAGGTTGAAGCGATGGATATGGGGTGACACCGTTTTGGACTAAAATTGTGATTGAAATTCCATCTTCTATAGTCATTGGTTTTGGTCTACAAGTTTGTTTTATGAACACAAGAGACAGGACCAGTAGGTCAAAGTTGGAGGACCCTCATATCACCCATTATCGGAGTTTGAATTTTGAAATTTAGAATGATGAATAATTGGAATTTGGAAGTTAGAATTAAATAAATAAATAACAAGTTATGTTTTTGTTTTCTGTTTTTTTAGGTATGTAATATAATTTTATAACAATTAATTCCAAAACCATGTACAAGACTTCACGAAAATACAGTATAAATTGAGCATAACAAAAAACCCATCATCAATGAATAAATCAATACCTGCCCCATAAATAAACAAGCCAATTAAATAAAGCTTTTCCTATATCATAAATCTGACCATCACCATCAAAATACTAGATTGTGAAAGCAATACTTAAAAATTCAATTTTATGAACTAATGTAAACATGGTTATAATTATGAACTATTCATATCTTCATAAATTATCCGATTATAATTAATGGACACTTAATTCATGGCGCATTAACATAAAAACACGTTCAGCATATATGTATTGACATAAATAAAATAAATTTATTAAATTTAAACATCAAATTTGCTTTGTAAGTGTTAGCAACCATTTTAACAAGGTTAATTTGACTTATTATCACTTGTTATCTGAATTGGGAAAGAGTTTAGAAGGTTAATTTGGTCTTATTAGTTTAAGTTTTAAAATTCCTATTAAATAGAAAAAATATATTAATCATAACTTTTATAATTAATTTTTCAATTAGAAAAAAAAGACATAATAATTTAAAAGGGTAATTTGGTCATTGTATAGTCTCACAAAAATAGAAAGAAAATATTAATTAAACATTTTATGATTAATTATTCAACCAATGAAAGGTGCCACTGTGACATGACACGATGAAAATCACGTGATAGTCCCTGAAATAACTAATTAACCTTTTTCACTTGGGAAGTACATGAGAAATATAACACTAGTAAACATTTGGAGTAGTTATCAGTAATGATTTTTGAATGACTTGATTGAGATAAAGATAAAATAAGGTTACAAGTAAAAAGATGATATACACTGAGTTAACAGGACATGCTAAAATCATGAATTTTTTGATAAATAGGGTTTGTTAGGAATTACTCGTAATTGATAGGTAGTATCTTTTTACATTCTTTAGAAAATTAGTTATTTTAGGGCGAATTAATCTTTTTACATTCTTTAGAAAATTAGTTATTTTAGGGGCTATAAATAATTGTGAAAGTAAACATTAGTCTTCTGTTATCACGTGAAGGTTGTAGTTTTTTATTTTTATTTTTTTAAAAAAATTCCAGGAAATTTTCGACTCCATTATGGATTTGTTGGAGTTCAGTTTTTGGTAGGGGCGTTCGAAAAATTCTGTAAATGGAAAAATCGGACTTGATTGAACTGAGCGGTTTGGGTTAGTTCTATAACGGTTTGGTCCGGTTCGGATCCAAAGTTATGAAATCATAATTTTTCGGTCCGGTTTTGGTTTGGGGTCTTGCTGGACCGGCCCGGTTCGGTCCGGACCGAACAGTTATATATTGTTTAGTTCCATTGGCATTATGCTTCGGTCTGATTTTAAAAATAATAGAACCGTTATAAATAGTTTCGTCCCAAAAAAACTCCAAATTCGATCCAAATCGGACCGTGTGCACCCCTAGTTTTTGACTGGAAAAGGAAAGAGAGGTAAAAGGACAAAATTGTCACTTTATTAATAAAAATTTGGAGTGCTAATAACAGCTACCTTCTAATTTTTTCTTAGTTTGTGAAAAAAGTTTAATTAATTTTGGAAACTTTCCTTAACTACTAGTTTCTTTATGGGGATAGATTTGTGGTGTTACCGTGTTAGGGTTCCTTTACTATAAATATGCTCACGAACATCGTGACTAGGAGAGCCAAGAAGGAGACGATGTCTTTGTTGAAGTACATGAATATTTCAAAGTTTATTTTGCGGCAACAAATCACAAGTCACACCTTCCAGACATGTTATTGTCAAAATACTTTCAAAACTGCATGTCAAGTCTCTGTTGCGGTTCAGGTCGGTGTCAAAGTCATGTCGTGCACTCGTCTCCGTCTCCCATTTCATCAAAACACACGTCAACAGCCGAAGACACCATCAGAGACTACTAATGATTACCCCTTCCGGTGATTGTTTCTATTCCATAAACCTTCAACCAAGTATTATAAAAGACATTGAAACAATAAGGATTACTGATATTTTGGATAACAAGCATACTGGTTTCTGTAATTGGTTTGAAATAATCATTACTACTTCTGCTTTCTTGTAATGGGTTGGTATGCATACTGCGTAAGAGAAGTAGTTTCTGTGACTTATATATAGTTAATATTTCGACAAGAGTTTCATTTCTGTGACTTATATATAGTTAATATTTCGACAAGAGTTTCCAAGAAAGTGCCACGGTTCAAATTATGTGATTGGATAACTTGTAATATGCATGGATTTGGCTATGATGAGACTGTTGATGATTACAAACTGGTGAAAGCAGACACAGACAATGTACACATATATTCACTCAAAACTAATTCTTGCAAAAAAGGTTGCTTTCCTCTCAATTACTTATTTGCTGCACCTTCTGGGACATCTCTCAATGGAGCCATCCATCATTCCATTGGCTTTCTTTTGTTCCGCAGACGAAGCAACTAGTGATTATTGGTTTCAGTTTGGCGGATGAGAAATTCTGGAAGATTGTTGCGCCTGTCCAGGACTCCCTAAAACTAGGGGTGTTTAGTGGATGTCTTTGTATGCTAAAGCATTCCAAGGATGAACTCTGGGTGTTGAAGGAAAGTGGTGCGACATGGTTTTGGACTAAAGTTGTGATTGAAATTACGTGTTTTAAAATGAAGTCATTGGTTTTGGTGATAAATGATGAATTATTGAAGAACGATGAATTATTGTTTATGACATACTCCAACGAGTTTGTTTTATGGAACACGAGAGAGAAGACCAGTAGGGTTCTAAAACTTCCAGCAAATCACCAACATCCTTTTATGGAACCATGAATCATTGGTCTTGGTGTATTGGGTTTGTACAATTTTTGTTTTTGAGTTCTTTAAGGGTATGAGAAGAGAGCTCTTCTCTGGACGACAACTCCATATGTTTTTCTTTTTTGACACTCTTGTTTTCCTCAATTCCATTTATCAGACAACCGCCTGCCATTGCCGTTTCAGTTGGTACTTT